GGAGCAACTCTTGCCTTGGACATGATAAGACGAGAAGAATATTCCCCTGACTCGTAAACAGACTGTAGATAGGCAACTGCACCATATGCTTCACTAGATGCATCCGTAAACACATGAATGAACTGACTTGTTACTAATGACGTCGTCCTTAAGCATCTTGGAATTTGAATCAATGGCAATTTCTCCAACTCATGAAACCATGCTTTTATTTTCGTTACCACATTACCAGGAAGTTCATCATCCCAATTCAGTCCATGTAACCATAATTCTTGCATGATGACTTTGATACGGATGACATATGGCGAAATGAATCCCAATGGATCAAAGAGCGTTGCCATTTCCTTTAATAAAAAACGTTTTGTATATGTCGTACCTTCAGCTTGTTTGACAGACTTGTACGTGAACACATCTCGTTGAGCATTCCACACGATCCCAAGTGTTTTCACTGACGGTAATTCTCCAGCATCCAAGTCGATATTTTCTGCACGATCTGTCTCTGGGATGACCTTCAAAACTGCTGTTGAATTCGATAGCCACTTTCTTGCATACATACCGGCTGAGTGCCAAAGTTCTGACAGTTCCGTGTATAGTTTGATACCTGCTTCGTCATCAGTCACTGAATCCATTGTGTCATCCATATAAGTTGAATCTAACACTGAGCTTGCAGCCATTGGCAATTCTTCTGCACTTCTTCTTGCATGTTCTTGTGACACAAATTGAGCTCCAAAGGGTGACGAATTTATTCCAAATACCATTCTGTTGAATTGTAACACGTCGGGCTCAGCAGTTTGATCCATGTTCCTCCACAAAATTCTTTGATACTGCCGGTCATCTGGATGTATTCCAATTTGTAAATACATTTCGGCTATGTCGCAAACCAAGGCAACTGGATGCTTCCGGAATCGCAAGAGTACTTTCACCAAATCTTGTTGAAGTTTCGGTCCTTGGTGAATTACATCATTGACAGACATGCCATTGTATTTTGCTGACCCATCGAAGACAATGCGCACCTTGGTAGTTGCTTTATCAGGACGTAGAACAGGAAAGTGTGGCAAGTACCAGCAATCTTTCCCAGATTCTTTGTCGACTTTTTCAAGATATCCCTTTCGTAGATATTGCTGTATAATCTCATTATAGCTATTACCCAGCTGTATGTCTCTCAAAAGTCTCTTCTCCGTGTTTGCTAATCGGTTCAAAGCCATTTCGTAATTGTCATCAAGTTTTCTTTCCTTTTTCCATGGTATTCTAATTTCATACCTTCCATCATGGTATTCCAATGAGTTCTTCACCATTTCCAGTGCTTCAATGTCTTCAGGGCACATCAATGTCTTGTCTTTTATACTTTCATCCCCTTCAATCTCCCATAACTTTCTAATCGTACTGTTTATCTTTATCAATTCTCTGTCGTCTTTTGGTGACATCACAAAGTTGGTTGAAATAACTTGCCCATTGCAATCACCTACACAAGTCCACCCAAGAGGTGTCAGCCGGGCCACTGGTTCATTTGCTTTCCCCTTTACCTCTCTCTGTGCACAGTGAAGATCAGCATGGTCCACACCAATTAAGATGTCAATCGTTGGCTTTGGTCCAACACTGGGAAATTTGATATCTTTTAAATGCTTCCAGTTGTTTGCCATTTTTACCCAATTAACAGCTCTCAAATTGCCTGTAACTCGGTTGACTGTTAATGCCTGGATCTGCGTTTTCAGCTGTCCATCCAAGGACTCAAGTTGAAATTCAACTGGCATTGTC